GCAGGATGGGACACACCAGGATGGGACACATCGGGGTGGGACACCGGGATTGGGAACACTGGGATGGGGGACACCGGGATGGGGCACAGTGGGCTGGGGGGCAGTGGGGTGGGGGACAGGGGACTGGGGGACACCAGGCTGGGACACACCGGGATAGGACACACCGGGATGAGGGACACCGGGTTGGGAGAGCAGGGTGGGGGAGAGCAGGGTGGGGGACAACGGACTTGGGGACAGCGGGATGGGGGACAGCAGGTGGGGGACAGCAGGGTGGGACACACTGGGGTGGGGGACACCAGGCTGGGGGACACTGGGCTGGGAAACATCGGGATGGGGGATGCTGGGGTGGAGGACAGAGGGGTGGGGGACAGTGGGGTGGGACTGTGGGGTGGGACAGCAGGGTGGGACATACCAGGATAGGACACACTGGGCTGGAGGACACCAGGCTGGGAGACAGCAGGCTGGGGACAACGGGTTGGGGGACACTGGGGTGGGACAGTGGGCTGGGGGACACTGGGCTGGGACACACCAGGGCTGGGACACACTGGGATGGGACGCCCCAAGGCCAGGAGGTTTCTCCCGAGATGCTGTGTGGATAAAGGGGGTCCCAGCGGAGGGTGACAACCTGTCTCCTCTCCATCCACAGGTGCCACCCTTGGCCACGCAAGCTCTGGCTGAGCTTTTGGGTGATGACGAGGCCCATCTCCAGCAGCAAGCCAAGTGCAGTCCCACCACGCGTGCAAGCAAGCCAAGGGCAGCCCAAGGGGTTTCCAGGGACTGAAATCTGCCCCGGAGCTCGATCCAAGGCGCGTGACTTCAGCCAAGCCGCATGAACTCTGCCGGGATGGCTCCATCCGCAGCATCCCACTTGACCCCACGGCGAGCTGGCCAAATTCAGCCCGTCACTAACTGGGAGAACACGTACAGGCTCCAACCAGCCCCCAAATCAGCCCTACAAAGGCACAGCCCTGGGCAGAACCGCGAGGCCATGCCCGTCCCTGCCACCCCGTGGAGCAGCACCAAGCAGGGGCTACGGGAAGGTTGAGGTTTGTGCTTCTCCACACCTTGGTTATGGGGCAGCGGCGCCAAACATTCCCCACGACGGCGTTTTCCCTCCCATTTACCCTGGGCTGGAACCCGGTGAGGGAGGTTTGCAGCATCCCCAGGGCCACCAGCATCTCTCCGGTCCCCCACTTTTTGCGCAACCATCTGCCCCCAAAATCTGGGAGCGAGTCAAAACCCTCGTCCATCTGCCCAGCCGGGAAAGTCAAAAGCAGTGTCATTGCCAAATCCAGAGGCACCCACAGAATTGATGGCGACGGATTTCCACTCTTATTTGTCAACAAGGTTTGCTGGCCTCCCCCCCAACCCTGCAAAGCCCCGTTAATCTCCGATACAATTGCAGTTTGCTGTGCAAACAGCTTTGGGGGGCCGGCATGGGGTTTGCATGAGAAATGTGTCATTTGGGGGCGGCCGGCAGCCTTGTGGGTAAGCCAGCGAGTGAATCGCGGCATCGCTAACGCCGGATTGAAACGATTTCGAAGCAATTGCCCTTCAATAACCCTAATCCTCGGCCGTGAATGGAGGTTTTTAACTCCTGGCCATTATTCCCACCTTATTATCTATTGATTGACTTTTAGAAAGGGTAATAACGTAAATAGATTGATGCTCTGAATCCCATCCGGAGATCAAATGGAGCCAACGGTTGATTTTCCATGTGGGATCCAGCGGCCAAACAATCAGAATAAAAGCAAATTATTTCTCCTATTTTCCTTCCCGAGATGAGCGATAAACTGTCCATCCCCGAAAAGAAACTGATAACGCCTCTAATTTTACTGGAAGGCCTAAAAATGCCATTTCTACGCAAAACAGGGCGCCGCTCTCCTCCCCGGCCAGCCTTTGATAAATGGTGGGGTTTTTTTTTTTCTTCTTTTTTGCCTTTTTTTTTTTTTTTCCTATTTCCCTTTCGGTTTGCAAGGGGAAATGCCCCCGGAGCTACAAACAACACACAATAAAGCAAAATAATATTTTAGTCAAAATAGGCAGACGGCGCTCGCAGCCAACTTTCAAATTAGCATTTTGAGGGCAAATATGCAGACAATTTGAGATAATGAGGCCTGATTATTCAATCCAATGAATGTTAAATAGGCAGCGAGGGCGCCCGCGTCTTATCTCCCCCGCTTTCGATTTATTTTAGTTTAGTTTAGTTTTAATCGTTTCCCATTTGAACTCTTTATTTGTCTTGGCTCCAGCCTCCCCCCCCCCCCCATTCCCGGGCAGCCCGGCGCTGCCAGCCGGGATTTTGCAGTGGGAAATCGCCGGCACGGATCCACCATCCCCTTTGCAACCCATTTTCAGGGAGCATTTTGCAGCTTGTCCCCCCAAAAAATTGGAGCCTGGGGAGGTTTGGGTGCTGCTGTCAGTCCCGGTCCATGTGTCCGTCCTCAAATTGGGGGATGTTTTGATGGTGGGGTGAATATTTGCAGGGCTGTGTGTCGCCGGTGCGGAGATTTTGGGGTGATGCATCCCCAAATCTGGCTCCTCCTCCATCCCCAGGGCTGTTTGTCCAGGTGATGGGGATGTTGCTGCCACCCCGGATCTCAGCACCCATCGTAAAACGAATGCAAACAGCAAACGAGCCCTGGAGGAGATGATCCCAGCACCCGCTGCCCAGAAAAAACCCGGCTCAGCCCACCAAAAACCCAAGCAAAGCCCGGCTCAGCATCCCACCGTGCAACCCCCGCAACCTTCCGGCAGATTTGCTTCGCTCTTGTGCAAACGCAATTTTTTTTGCAACCCCAGAGAGGTGCATTTGCCTTCCCCCGGGAGGGAAGGGTCAGCTCCGGGCTGGGGAGCTCCAGCACCACGATGGAGAGCGGCATTTTGCACCAAAAGTGGGGGGGGGGAAAGCAAAATCATATAATTCACATCATTTTCCAGCTCCTCGCCGGGAAGGCAGCTTGGTTAGGCGAGACCCCGGCTGAGGATGCCATTGCAATGGTATTTAGGAGCGGGCTGGGGGAGATGCACGGCTGCCACAGAGCAGGAGGAAGCAAAAATTACAGCTAAGCAAAAACTAAAAGTCGAAGCAAAGATGAAAGTTAAGCAAAAATTAAAAGTTGAAGCAAAAATGAAAGTTGAAGCGAAAGTTAAAGCAAAATTTAACCCAGGCCAGGCTCACCGAGGAGGGTGCAGAGGGCGCCCGTACGGCGGTGACGCCTCTGCCGCGCCGCCGCTGACCCCCGTTTTCCCTGCGATTCAAGAGAAGAATCAAAAAAAAAATCCATTGATTTCAGGGGTAATTAAAAAACCTCTTCATGCCTCAAGTGGCAGTAAAATCAGCGAGATGAATAAATAAGAGCTGGGAAGCGGAGCAGGGAAGGTAAAGGGAGACCGAAAAAAACCCCAGTTACGGGGGCAAGGATGGAAGGCGGCGGAGAGGAGGAGATGCAGCGAGAGGAGAGATAATCAGAAAGGAAAAAAAGAAAAGGGGAAAAACAATCAAAAGAAGGGAAAATAAAAAGCAGATGCTGAGTGGGGATAAGAGGCGGCCGGCGGAGCGGGGCCGGGCACCGGACTGGAGGGATAATTGGATTTTGGTTCTTCTCGGGGGCGATAAGAAATTCCCCGCGTATTTTTTTCCCCTCTTTGCAGCGTATTTTAATGCGAGATTTGAATACGGCTGGGGCAGCGCATCCCACCTGGAAAAATACGGGTTGCTGAGGGTTTTTTTTTACCCCGCTTTCCCCAGTTTATGCACTTGCCGGGAGGCTGCTTGGGGCCGAACGCCGCTATTCCTGCACCCAGCGGCTTCGGGCTCCTGAGCAGCCGCTTGGGGTGAGCAGGAGCGGTGCGAACCCCCAAAAGCAAGGAGAGGGGATGCAGCAACCCCAAAGGGGACACAGCAAATCCTAAAGGGGACACAGCAACCCCAGAGGGGCTGTGGCAATCCCAGAGGGGTCACAGGGATCCCAGAGGGGATGTTGCACCCCCAAAGGGGACACGGTAACCCCAGAAGGGATGCAGCACCCCCAAAAGGGACACTGCACACCCCAAGGGGGCTCAGCAACCCCAAAGGGGACACAGGGATCCCAGAGGGGACATTGCACCCCCAAAGGGGACATTGCACACCCAGTGGGGACACAGGAAGCCCAGAGGGGACACAGGGATCCCAGAGGGGACACAGCAAATCCCAAAGGGGACGTAGCAAATCCTAGAAGGGATGTTGCATCCCCAAAGGGGACACGGTAACCCCAGAGGGCATGCAGTGACCCCAAAGGCGACATTGCACCCCAAAAGGGGACACAGCAACCCCAAAGGGAACACAGGGATCCCAAAGGGGATGTTGCACACCCAAAGGGGACACAGTAACCCCAAAAGGGGACACAGAGATCCCAGAGGGGACACAGCAAATCCCAAAGGGGATGTTGCACCCCCAAAGCAGATGTAGCAAATCCCAAAGGGGCCATAGCAACCCCAAATGGGACATCGCACGCCCAAAGGGGACATAAGGATCCCAGAGGGGACACAGCAACCCCAAAGGGGACAGAGGGATCCCAAAGGGGATGCAGCAACCCCAAAAGGGATGCTGCACCACCAAAGGGGACACAGCAACCCTAAAAGGGCCGTAGCAACCCCAGAGGGGATGTTGCACCCCCCATGGGGACACAGTAACCCCAGAGGGGACGCAGCAACCCCAAAGGGGCTGTAGCAACCCCAAAGGGGACGTAGCAAATCCCAAAGGGGATGTTGCACCCCGAAAGGGGACATGGCAGCCCCAAAGGGGATGCAGCAACCCCAAAGGGGCCGTTGCACCCATGCAATGCCCCGCAACCCCGGCGGGGCACCCTGCGTCCCCGCGGCCGAGCGGAACGGACGGCCCCGGCCCCCCGGGGAGGGAACACGGAGCAGAAGGAGGCAAAAAAAAAAAAAAATTGCCACTGGTTTGATGCCGGAGATGGGAGCGATAGAGCAGAGCAGCCCAGCCCCGTCCCATTAACCGAGGTGGCCCCGAATGCCCCTTATCACGATGGCATCAAAGCCCCGGGGCCCCGATCGCCCCGTCATAACCCGGCCGTGAGCACCCAAAATGCCGGTACCGAGCACGGCGCACGCCGGCACGGCTTTTCGGCGTGACCTTGCTTGAGGGGCCGGGGAACGTCGGGTTTGGTCAGGCCATCGAGTTATTAGGGTCAGCGGAGAGGTTTTTAATTGTTTATTAGGACTGGGGCCTCGTTGGGGACGCCGCTGTCCCCCTGCCCGGCTGCCGCGTGGGAAACGCTGCCGAGAATTGAAAGCGAAGGTGGGGAAGGGGAAAGGTTGTGCACGGCTGGATGCTACCGTCATTCCTGGGAATCTGCTCCCGTGGGCGCGCGTTCAAGGGCAAAGCAGCCTGCAAACCGCAGGTGGTGTGGGTGCTCCAGCAGCAAGCGGTGCGTGGACACGCAAGCTCACGTTTGCATGTGCGTGCAGGTGCTTGCACATGCATGGACACACGTGCATGCTCGTGTATGCCTGGACACGCATGCTCGTGCTTGGCCATGCACGGACACACGTGCTTGTGCTTGCACATGCATGCACGTGCATGGACACACATGCACACACATGCATGGACACACAGGCACGTGCAGGGACACACATGCTCACGCTTGCACGTGCATGGACATGCATGCACATGCCTGGACACAAATGCACATGCTTGCACATGCCTGGACACAGACGCGCATGCTTGCACATGCATGCACATGCATGCACACACACACATTTTGGGGCAAGGCAAGGGGAAAGAGCAGGAGAAACGCTGGTAACTGCTGTGCCCGGCGGGGCCCGGGGCGGGTGCAGCCGGGTATCGGGGCACACAACCGCGTCCCCCCACTTTCCGTCTCGCCCTGGCGCGGGGGGGCATATCGCGACACTCCGGGTCACCCATCGTGCCTCTGCGGTGGCCCCAGCCTGCTGCTGTCTCCGGCCCGATGCAGGGCCCGCTGCCCCGTGCGCTGCCTGCTCCAGCGCCCCCCGTTGCACGTCCCCCCCGTTGCAC